CAAGACGTCCTTCCATTCTTGTGGGATACGGCTGATGATGTATTGGAGATTAGGTCCATGTCTGTGACATCCTTTTAGCTGAGAACTAACTTCCTGTTCCGTCTTCCACTCCTTTCTCTCTTCGTTCCATAGGTGAGCGATTTTCCATATCCCGTTTTTGATCCAGGATCCAGGAGAGCCATCTATGTTCTAGGGGGAGGGGATTGTCTCCTTCGTTTGACACCCATTGGTTCCCAAAGAGCGGTTGCCTGAGAACTTCATCCTTGGACCTAGGCCTATTGGATTTATTGGGCATTATCTTTCTCCAGATCCGAATCAGTGCTGACCAGTATGGAACCGGGGGTCTGTAGATTCCCATTCTACCATCCCTTCTTCGATTCCTACGTCCTGTGGTTAAAGGCCACTCCTTGTTCATGATCCAAAAAAGGCCTGACATGTCGTCTGGAGAGGGCACTGGAGCTAGCGATCTGATACTGTCTAAGGCTAACTTGTTCCAGGCACTATCAGGGTCCATCAGCAGTTTAATTATCCATTTGATCTGGAAGGCTTTCGTCTCTGTCCCGGGGTCGATAATCCCTAGGCCTCCTTTTTGGGGGGTTCTTGTGACGTAATGCCATGCGACCTTGGAAATACCATTCTCTTTATTTGGATCACCTGACCATATATAGGACCTGGCTCTTTTGTTTAGCTCTTTGATGGAACTATCCGGTATTGTCCAAATATAAGCTATGTACCACATCATTGAGAAGACCAAGGTATTGAGGACCAGGGCCCGACCGAAAAGGGATGTAAAGACATTGCCCCATCTTCCTAATTTGTTGATTTGTTTGGCCAATATGTTCTGTCCCATTTGGGGAGCCAGGCCCTGAGCACGCCAAGGTATCTAGTGGGGGATTTTGGTGTTTCCTACACCATGGTAGCTTCCTCTCCTTGTAAATGGAGGGGTTCCTTTTCGGATAACCACCAACCTATTGTCTTACCCCAATTGATCCTCATTTATGAAGCCAATTTGAAGGCTTCCATTGCTTACGCAAAGTCCTGAAGGAGGAGTCTGATGCTTTGATCAGTACGGTCAGGTCATCTGCAAACATGATGACAGTTGAGAAGTTTATTTTGTGCGCCGAGCCTGTATTGAGGGCTGGGAGTCTGTGAATCGATGGGTCCTTACGTAGGAAAGAAGCGATGGCCTCCATCACAAACAAAAAGATTGACGGGGCCAGCGGATCTCCTTGCCGAACCGAACGGGATATCGGGTAGCAGTCCGATAGCAGGCCATTGATCTGAACGCAGCCCATTGCATCACTGTGTAATATGTGAACCCATTTTCTGAAGTTTGGGCCAACTCCCATTTTTTCCATGCTTGCCTCCATAAAATCCCAATTCACCTAATCATATGCCTTCTCAAAATCGAAGAAGAGTATGGTCGTGTTAATTCTTCTTTCCCTAATTTTCCTAACCGCCTCGTTTAGTGTTAGTACATTATCCAGAATGAAGCGACCTGGGATGAAACCGGTCTGATCAATGTGAAAGCACTTGTTTGTGATTCTGGCGATTCGTTTGGATAGGGTCTTTGCTAAAATCTTGTATGGAAGAGTTAGCAGCGAGATCGGCCCGTAGTTTCTGATGTCTTCCTTCTCGCCCTTTATGTAAAGTAGAGTGACCACGCTGCTGCTGAGTAGGTTGCCCAGTCCCCCTTTCCTCCAACAATCATTGTAAAAGCTAAGTAGATCAGGACCTAGAAGGGGCCATGATTTCTCCCAGAATTATTTTGTGAGACCATCAATCCCTGGTGTCTTGCTGTTGTTCATGCTAGATAGTGCTTGGTGCAGTTTCTCTATTGTGATGGTTTTGTCTAGCGCTTCCGCCTATTCTGGTGTTATTGTTTGTTCCAGATACTGGAACATTCTTTGTCTAGCCTCCCTTATGTTGGACGTTATTGGCATAGGAGTCTTTGATTGGTAGAGTTTTTTTTTTAAATCCTTTGCTATTTCTAACATTCCTTCACTATCTGATCTTATGACATCTGGGTCTATGGTAGACTTCAGCCTTTCTACTGCCTCAACTCTTGAGTTGGCTTTGATTCAGGCAAAAAAGTGCTTAGTCATCGAATCACTAAGTTTCATGGTTGCCCCAGACCCGGACATCCAGACACCGGACACCAGGCCCGGACCCGTGTCTGGATTAATTCGGACGTTCGGTAAACCGGACATCAATCCGGAGATTCCGGACAACTGGACATACAGACCCGGACGGTTCAGTTATGAAAGAACATGTCCGAATGTCCGGATATAAAAAAAAAAAGCAAAAAAAAAAGCAAAAAAAAAAAAATGCACGCTACTGTAGTTGTGTAACTTGTGTTATCCGACTTATCTTGAACACACTCACATACACACACAGTGTCGTGCACACACACAGTTGCAAGAGCAATGGAAGGGGTACCCCAAGGACAACCAAAAACGGTCTAATTATAAAATTGCCTTAATATGTTGGATTGTGACTGTCTCATCTCAAATGCTCTCGTTGTCTGCAATACGACAAAGACTGCTTTGATTCTGAATCTATTAATCTGGGTGGAATTGGGGCTGTTGGGGGGGAAATCACATGCAGACACACACACACACACA